ATACAGTAGAGCGTCGATTTTCCGAAAGTCAATCATCCGAAAGAATTCCAGTCGGCAAATTTAAATTTTCGCCAGTACTGTGGCGCTTCAATCTTTGGCAATGTCTTGGGCTACTCAAATATTTAACGTTTTTGATACTAAATTAACATCTGAAGTATAATTTTTTATTATTTTTATATTTTTCAATATATTCATTTTGTTTGTACAAAATAAAAAAATATTTTTTAACGATACAATAGTCTTTGTTAGGCTTAACATCGACGAAAATTCAATGCGAAGCGACAAGCAACGGAGAAAAATTTCGACATCGGATACCTTAAACTATTTTTTCGTACATAAATCAGTTATCCGAAATATCAGTTATCCGGACAACCCCAGTCCCCAATTGATTAGGAAAATCGACGCTCTACTGTAATTATATTTGGAATATATTATAGAGTAAATATGTACTTGAAAACAACGGCAATTATTTTCATTTTTGAGACTGATTTGATATGTTTTGTAATCTGCATCATAGGAATAAAATTGACGTTGTTGTGTAAATGTTTTAAAAATTGTCTTTGAACTGAAGTTTAATTGATAATTAATTACAACAAGAAAAGAAAAAAATCCTTTGAATTGTGTAGACGATTTGAAAAAAAAATCCATCAACATTTGCCAACTATCTCCGCTGTTAAGATATTTTATTTAAAGAATAACTTTTGTATCATTATTTATAATAGATAAATAGTATGCGGCGCCATCTGTTATCAGTTTTATCATAAAAATTTTTTAATATTATTAATTACTATGAAAAGACAAAAGACGTTAAATTTTGAGGGTAGAGACGAATTTTTAAAAAAATTATAAATGCTAATAAGGAGTGAAATTCTCATTAAATTTTACCCCACTTGAAGTATGGTTTATGAATGCCTCCAATTTCCTTATCCTTGACTTAATTGTAGCCACCAAAATTTAATAGCAGTAATGCCCCATACATAGAAATAACCCTGTGAAATTTCAAGACTTTTGGCTCATCCAGTCCTGAGATAATGCAAAAATAGTAGCCGACACACGCAATTTTGTCAGGAGATTTTTATATTTTACATATGTAACCGACATATCAGTATAGGTTATATCTTTAATTATTATTCACAGTTTCAAACACTCACTCTATCTGTCTCCAAAATTCGTCAGGGTAGTCAGAAGATAAGAGAATATGCATCAAATTTTGCGTTAAATTGGGGAATTGACAGAAAAACGCCTGCCCGTCTTGATAAAATAAGCTGCAGGGAGGAAGCTCTATCAAAGTGAAGATGTTACGAGTATCACAAAGAAGTTCAAAGTTGACAAATTGCTGTAACTGACGATTAACATATTGCACGACACGAAAATGCAATCATTTGTGCTGATGAAAGAGCAAACGTTAATTATGATTGAAAGTTAAGTATAATTACGATGGCTTAAAAGAACTAAAAACAATGACGTCAGAAAATTGAATATTCTTTGATGGCAACGCCAAGCCACATACAAACGTTGTAATTATTACTTATGTAACAAAACATGGTGCTAATGTTTTACAACTTTACTGTTTCCCCGATCCAGGTCCTACTGAGAGTCGAAGCAATGTTTTTGACGCTCTTGGCGGCGCATTACTTTTTTAATCCACTGTACAAGAATGTTTGCGAGGATTAGGGGCGTTAAGAAACCCCAGACCTATCCATTCGCTTGATGGCCGAGCGGTCAAAGTGGCAACCTACTGCTCTGGGGGAACCACGCGGATCAGGACGGATAAGTCGTCTGTCTGGATATGTCGGGCCCAGTCCCTCATTACCCAGCTACATCATTGTGGTCCTGATCAAACCCATAATGGGCTTGCTAAAAAAGGCCCTTTTAAAGCCCACAGGTTGGAAAGAGTTAAAGAAACGGTCTATGCATTGCTAAGGCTCTGTCCTAATAAGTTAATCTATTACCAAACAATCTATGAAATTCATGCATGACAAATAGAAAAAAATTTTGCCAACTCTTAAAGTATTTTACTTGTACTTTCTATATTGACTGTCGTTTAACTTGATCTAATTATATTTCAACTATCCGGGCAAGTTTAATATTGCATGTGTAAGCCATCTGCAAACATATCCATACATACAGAAAATACGAAAACGTAAAAATCACGTTGGAAAATATTTTTTACTATACGTTCTCTCTGTTATAACAACAGAAAAAGTAATATTTATACTACGTATTATTTATTTTTTCAACTGTAAAAATCTCGTTCGAAAGTTCTGCTCCGAAAGCGATCTGCAATTCACTTTCACCACAAATCTGCTATGGTCAAGACAACAGCATTTGTTTCGGGAAAGTCGTGATACGAAGGCGATTTGCCGATCGCTTTGAAGTATGGGAAAATACTTCATTTTCTCTCGCAATTCACACAATTTAAACATTTTTGCCAGGAATGTTCACATGCCTCTTGCCGTCTCTTGTGGATTAATAAAGTGCATAGTATTACATTTAACTTGCGAATAATTTATAAGAAATCTTTAATTATAAGAAAATTAAAAGCATTCAATCAATTGTTGTAAACCAGGGGTCGCCAAACTTTTTTAACAGTCGACCCCCAACAACTTTCCAAAACCTCACAATCACCCCCACAAAATTTTATTACAAGTGCAAGTGTATGAGCCAAGAAAAAATTCCCTTGTGATTTCCGTATGGACCAAAAAAAAAAAAACAGAAAGAAAAATCGACCCTCCACATCGACCCATTAGTTGCTTGGACCCACCAATAATGTTCCATCGACCCCTGCGGAGTCGATATCGACTACTTTGGCGACCCATGTTGTAAACGAACAGGTATAAAAAAATTTAATTAAGTTTTTCGACATCGTAAAGATGACAAACAGAATTAGCAAAACACTATTAATCATTGCTCGTTCAGAATCAAATGTCCATGAAAAATTTTTAACAAGATGTGTTTGGATGCAATTTGAAAGAGATTGTTCATTTATAAATTTCGATTGTCGTGCGTTTGTTTGTGTGTGTGAATGAATGTTTGTTTATCACTCTGATTATTGTTCCTCCTCATTCTCCAGAATGGAGCTAAATAAATGATAATGGAGAAAAGAAATACAAAACAAAAAGGAAGGAGGCCTCCATTAACTATATATTAACCATCGGTTTGTAACGGAAAGTATGATAATTTGATTCAAATATTTCCTCTAAAAGGAGTTAGACAGATGACTGGCCCCACACTCACAGGAATAACATGATGTACAAAAAGATACACCATTAAATTAACATATGTTTTAAGCTAAATAAATACAAAATATGATTTAAAATTGCAACCCGGCAGTGTGACGATGTCGCAATATAATAATTGCTCGTAATATTTTTTAATTTAGTTACTCAAAATTTTATGTCTGAAGAATTCGTCTGCGTTACGTTCGTGTTACGATTGTGTTACTACTGCTTGACTTTTGTATTGAAACTAGTTTAGTGGCTCACAACGTGTCAATGCGCTATGTTTACAAAAGACTTTTAAATGCCTTTTATAAGGTTAAATATTTTTATACTTTTCAAATGGTAAAAAATTCGAACCTTTTGGAATGTGTAAAATATTATGCAATTAAATCCAAATACAAAATTCGTCAAAAGCATTTCTACTGCTCTGTTGTAAAGTAAATAAATACACTAAACGCTTTAAAATATAATTTTAAAGAATTTAATACCAAAATTAGTATATTATTTTCGACACAGTGACATTAATCAATCTAAACGAAAAGGGTCTATGTCACATGACAAAAATGGAAGACGGCATTGATCGTTAACACGTAATAAATCACAGTAATATAAATTGCAAAAAAGTTTAATTGTTTATAACGAAAGAAGTATAAATACGTTTTAAGAATATAGAAAAGAAAAGAGCTGAAAGAAATCAGACGTATGTGTCAACGTTTGCAGGTCGCCTTCTATTTCTTTTATCTAACATTGACCTTTTCTGGCCAGGCTGATCATGTCTACAATTTTGAATTGCAGATTATAATATAGAGAAGAATCTAGGATACATGAAACATTGTACTATGAACAATTGTTTCGTAACTTTTATAGATTTTATATTTTCTGAAAGAAAATATTTTTTTCTTTTATCGTTTTTCGACAGTCATTCTTATACCGAATTTCGGACGAAGAATGACGTCAGCAGATTCGAAAATCTTATCTCTGTGGTCCAAAGACTTCACTCGAAAATGTCGAACAACATTCGCTAAAACTGTCTTCATCTCCATCATAGCGAATTTTTGACCTGAAGAAAGGTAAATACGTCAGAAACACAGGAGCTCAGGAGGCCTTTGTCTCTTATCACATTTACTTACCTATGCAATTGCGTGGACCGGCAGAGAACGGTAGAAAGGCAAAGGGATGACGTTTCTCGCAGTTTTCTGGTAGAAATCGATCCGGATCAAACACTTCGGGATTAACAAAAACTATTGGATTATGATGAATCCCATAAATGTTTATTACAAGGGACGATTGTGCCGGCAAGATATAATCACCTGAAAGAAAATTTAATTGTTATCAATGAAATTTATGGCATTGCTGGGAAGTGTATTTACTCTCAAAAGGCGACACATACCCACTTTCAAATCAGATGAATTTTTTCTCGCTATGAAAGTTGCCGGAGGATAGATCCTGAGTGTCTCCTGAAATTACTTTAATATTTCAAAATAGTTGACGAGTATTTGATAACATAATACTTTTTTTGTATTTACAAACAAAATTCCACAAAATATAAAAATAGTTCGTTGCTCTTAAATACTTTTTGTTAAGATACAAAAAAGTTTCTATTAATATAAAAAAGAAAAAATGCGAAATACATGTCATAGGTACATAAGTATATGGAGATAACATTTGACAACAGTAATAGTTTCCTTATCTTTGGTTTCTGATTAAGAGTAAAAATCGGTAGAAGTAGCCTCTGCGTACTCGATAACAGCGAAAACATATATAGGGCCTACATACTGCATATTGTCACTACTGTCTTAAGCGAAAAAAGTAAAACCAATTTATAGCTTATCGAATATACAGGTCAGATTTGTTTATTCTTGCCACTCTTCAGATGCAATGCAGAGAGATTTGACCGCTGGTTGTCGTCGTACCTCTCGCTACAGAGCAAAGTGTGTTTTGTGATTTTCAAGACTTTTGCAGGCAAGTTTTCAAACATTTTAACCTACTGGTACACATGTGACTTGAACATTGATGTTAAGCATAACGCACTCTAAGAGAACTGTAGTTTGTTATACTGTAAAACTTAGTTCACACTGAGCGAATAGCGAAAGCGAATGTGAAAAGCGAAAAGCGATTTTTATTCGCATATAGCGAAATTGACCGTACAACCAAAAACGAAAAGCGATTGCGAATTTTAAACAGCAAATCATTTGCAAGCAAGTAAAAACGTCATCTCGAAAAACAAAATGGGCGCTTCCGATATTTGATCGTTAACCACATTTGTTTACTTATTCAGAAAGAAAAATAAGTCGAAAAGAAAGCGATGCTGGGTGAAAAAAATATTAAAATCATTAATTACAACATGTAATCTATTGCGTGAGAAAGTTTCTGTAGCCATCTTGAAAACAACAATAACCACGTGACAACTAGCGAAAATACGATTGGTTCGAAATTTTTTCGCTAGCGAAAAAGCTCGACAGTACCAATTTCGAAGCGATTTGCGAAATGGTAAAATTCGCCGAAAATGACGTCGTGTCTGACGTGTTATTCGCTCTGTTTTTCTGCTGTGAACTAAGCTTAATCGTTTTTTAGCTGACAATGTTTTGTCCATCAGTTTAGAGGTTCATTTTCCAAGACGGCGTGTTAGGTATCATGGAATATTAAAATAAATGGATAAACTGAAAGAAAAGGACGAAAATAAAAAACCAGAAGCTTCAAAACGACAAAAGAAACCGAACATTCAAAGACCACATATTAAGAAATTAAACTTAGACTGAACTTCTACACCTAAACCTACTAGAGATGATTCCATTGTCAGCAGTGATGAATCGTTCTAGTCTGATGTATTATCTGTAATGGACTTTATGCCATCAACTAAATAATCAGAAAACGAAGACGCTGAATGTATCTTCTGCAACGGAAAATTCTCCAAAGATGAACGTGGAAAAATTTGGATTCAATGCTTCAGCTGTTCTCTGTGGGCTCATCTTGATTGTACCGCCGGAGCAGTGAAGGAAAATTATATCTGTGATTTTTGTAAATAGACTCGAAGCAGGAATGACATGTACATAATCTTAAAAATATGGTTTTTATAGTAAAAAATAACTATGTTTTATGAAGTCTAATTAGTTTTCCAATTATTTAAACCACCTATTCCATATTACTATCCATTCGTAACATTTTTTAAATAATTTTTTTATAACAACAAAATAAATAGTATATTTTTACAAGTGACAGTTCATTCCAATTAGTTATAGTATGTACTCATGATAATTTTGGGATTTTTATTCAAAAACCAGTAAAGTTATTTTTAGAAATGTAAATGGTATTCCATTTTACCTTTATAATTTAAAATATACTAAAGCGTTTAGTTAATACTAACTGACGAGGGAATATTTTCTATCGGAAAATAGACCAAAATGCATTTTGGGTTCTTTCGTTCCCATACTTATGTAGTTATTTTTTTGTTTATTAAACGTTTCACTCTGACTCCTGAGCGTTCGTGCCCATCAATGTTCTGATAAGCCCTCACTATTACCTGCCACACAATTGTTAATAATTTAAATGTCTAAATTTCACCTTTCAACCAGGCATAGGTTAATTGTTACCTTGACAACGCGTTCCAGATACTTCATTTTTCTAAGGTCTTCGGACGTAATAGAATTATTCGTGTCTTCACCAAAAATTTCTTCCTGCTCCCGGTAAACTTTCTCTTGTATATCGGGATGCAATCCGAGCAAATAAAGAGACCAACTAATACCCATCGCACTTGTGTCGTACCCCTAACAAAAAAACAATTTTTATATACCCCGAATCTCTTTTTCTTAAATTAGTAAATGAAACTGATCTTACTGCGAACATGAATGTATCAACTTCTTCTCTGATATCTTCTTCGTTGAGACTTTTATCTGTTAAATGATGATAAAGCAGTAAATCCAGAAATGCTCGCCTCTTCTTTACCCCTGTAACTTCTTTCTCTTCTTGAAAGTTGTCGATTGTTTGATTGTCTTTCAGTTCTTCTATCATTTTTTGTTTCTTTTCTCTAATTACCTGAATTGTTTTCATTCTTTAATTAACAATGTAAATAGTTTATAAATAAAAACAAATGAACTTGCCTTTCTGTCGAATTCGTGAATCGTGTCAATGTCTTTGTAAAATTTTTTCCCTAATGGACTAAGGTTGAAGATGAAACTGAACCAATACCAAGGCTTCGTGAACCATTGAATAACTGCGGATGTTATACTGAATTATAAAACACAATGTAGTATATTAAAAATGCTTCAAGTAACTGAAATATATTCACATTGTTAAAAATATTTTAACAATGTGAAATGTGAAAACAACCTGAAACAAAATAATTTTTTTTGAAACTTTGTAAAATGCTTTCGTCATTAGAATAATAAATGATTTTGAAAGCTGAACATAATTTTCTTACTCATTGTTACAGTTTTCATGTGTGATAATTCTATTGGGCGTATTTGAAATATTATGCGTTGACAGCACCTCTTTCAGAAATCTCAAGCAACTTCTGCTCGCTGCCAATAAACAACATGGCAGCAACCATTAGACACGTGAAAACTATTTTGCATTGACAATGTCGACATTAATTTATTTGTTAATGGATGTTCTTCAATAAATAAAATCAGGTTAGTACATTATTTCAATAATTTAATATACTAGTATAGTTATTTTAGACATGACATAAACAGTGTTAGTTGTTAAAGTGTAATATTAAGATTGATTTATTTATTATTAACTTTTACAGAAATTTACAAAATTTTAATTTGTTTATTTCTTCTCGCCATTTTCTTTTTTTTTCTGATATCCAGGCAGACAGCATTTGTCTTCTCACATAAACTCCAGCAGTTGCGTCACTTCCTGTAACGTCTTACTGAATTGATGCTGAATTTTTTAATACCCTCATTCATTGAGGGGTATGTAAAGCCATTGAGAAGGAGGCAATCTATGTAAAATTAATGTTATTTTTCTTACACTAAGGTCACTAAGAATTTTTATAGTGTAGTGAGAAGTTTTAATCCTTTAAAATCAGCTTCATTTCTTGTGTGTTTGGACAAATGAAACGTCTCTAATAATACTTAATAATAAAAGTTTGACAATAAATAAAAATAATTTATTTTTTACGTATTGCAAAACTACCTTATATTCAAATAGTATGATACTGTTATACTAACATGCTTAATTGCGCCATTGAATGTAAAATCGTATTTAGAAGATATTTTGTGTATTTTTTCCTCACGGAAGAGGCAGCAAGGATTGCATTGTATGCGTAAATGGAAACTCTTTCATTTCTTCCATAGCATCACAGGACATAAAAACAAATTTGTATCCTATGCGAACACGTGTAATAGAATCAAACTACAAGTGGTCTGGAGGACAATTCTATCCATGCTATGAAAACCTTTCACAGTCAATTAAAATTACGAGGTCGTTTGTCATCTTTGATCCATTGTCACCTTTTGCAATTATGACTTTTCATAGTGGTAAAGCTGAGATTGTTGTACAATAATCGATAGAAAAACGAAAATAGTAATTACATGAAAATTGAAAAAATAGCTAGAAAATCCTTAGAGTTATTCAAAAGCGAGTTATAAGCAGTTTTGAATAGTAAAGTTCTATTTAGATTTGTCATTAAATATTTCTTTTCAACTTACTCATTAATGGCAACGCCATAATCGCTATGAGATCTGTCTTGAGTGTTGAATCGAACTCCCATTGCTGAATCTGTAAATAATAATAGTACATTTATAAAATAACATATTGAATTTGTATACTTTACTTTGTAAATTTCTTTGTATTAACTGAAAGAAATTTGGAACATACTGTGACTCAATTTCAAAAAGTACTGAGAAAATGAAAGAAAACTTATTAGAAAACTTTTTTTTTCTCATGGTTATGAAAACGACACATTTCAATGTATTAATGCGTCAACATATCGATAGAAAATTTCGCAATGCCAATCGTACTTGCAATCGAAAGTTTCGTTGGCTCTAATTTAGAATCTGACGGCTCAGCGCCTTATTATTCTTTTTTCTGCTATGGTCCGACTGGTTGACCTCACAATGCGTACGATTAAAACAGATTGTCTTATTCGCAAAATACAAAGAAAAATCAAAATTCTCGAAATGAAATAAAACTTTTAATTTAAAATAACATTTCGAAACTGTCGTAATGAAGAGACAAGTTTAAAAAACACACTCTCAACTGCTCGTTCATTTTTCAGCACATTTTCGAATCGTAGTTTTTTTAGATTATTAAAAAAAATGTTAAAAATATTTTTTCTGCTTGTAAAAAGGCAATTTCCCTGCAAGTAAACATTGCTTAATCAATTCTTACCTCCAATAATATCCAAAGTGCACAGACTGATTAGCTCGTCAATAAGAAACTCTTCATTTCGCTTTTTATTTTTCAACTTTTCAACTAATATGTTTGAGTGGTCGTTGAAAATTCCTTGAAAGTTTTCGAGAATTCGAAAGTGAAATGCCGGAGTTAACAATTTCCTACGATGTCTCCACTTATCATTCGAACTGTTTCGATTGTAAACAAATAAATTACTTGTGTTAATGTGAAATATTCGACGATTGTTTTACCTTGTGAGAAGACCTGTTCCCAGCCACGGATGAAGAATATTATAAATCCAATCTTTGTTGATCACGGTGTTATTCTTTAGCGCTTCCTGTATTAAATAATCAATTGTTAACGTGACAAAGCACTTATTACGTGACGAAGCAAGTATACCTGAGCCACATCGGGATGAGATAATACAATATAATGATAGCCACCCCAAGAAAGTTTCATTAGTTTCTCTTTGATGAATGCCAAACACGCACAACTCAATAGTTGAACTATAACTAAAAAATTTATTAAACAGGGCATTAACATTTATTGATCGCTATTCGAAAACAAATTCGTAAATAACATTATATCGTAGCATATAATTTAATACCTTTTAATTATACTTACAGGTGCCACAAAGTTTCCGATAATCTTGCGCTTTTACTGGACAGAAAATCAAATTCCAAAAATAGGGCAAAGTGGTGGCTTTCGGTATTTCCTTCCTCGATTTGTTGTTGCTTTTTTTCTTCCTCATATACAGACCTGAATAAATATTGCAAGACCTGAATATATCTATTTAATTTTCAATCATAGCCACATTCTGTGTTGAATACGACTAATTTCACCGGCGTATTTTTCCGGTGGGAAATTCGGTATAATTTAACAAATTCATATTTTTCGGTTGAAACTAGAATGGGAAAATAAAACGGAGAATGGTAGACAAAGAATTTCGTTTGAGTTAAAATATAAAATTACGATCTGCTGTTACTATGGAAGAGCTGATAAGAACAGTTTGGTACAGGAAACCATTAGCCGCAATGCTCGTTGTATGTTAAATGGAAACAGCATTATAAGAGAAAGTTATTATTTTATGTTTCTGAATGTTTTTTTTCAAATACAAGTAGTTTAAAATGAAACATGTGCTACTTTTATTCTTCTTGATGTGCGTACATGATGTATTATTTAAATTCAACTATAAGTAATCGTCATTTTCATTTTGTAATTTTGCACAAATTTAAGCAAGAAGATTTTGGTTAGAAAGTTTCAATTATACATTTCCTGTCGGGGATTAAAGAAGAGTTTCAATCTAAAGCTCCGATGTTTCAAACTCTTTCTTGTTCAGAAAAAATACAAAGGTTGATCTCTTTGTTTGTTGATCAGTTCGCTTATGTTTATAGTGGTAGGAACCGAATTCGCTCGTTAAGTGAGGAGTGTCTGTTCAGTTTTCTATGATGTTGCTGCTACTCTGGCACAGATTACTGTTTAATTTATTTAATTCAAAAAAAATACGTTCCTGAATGAGCGTTTAAAATTTTTTTTGAGTAAAAGACAAGATAAATGCTTATAAATGAATCAATAAGAATGGATTTTATTCTTAAAAAACAAAGCTAATAATGTTTTGAAAATAATTTAAAAATATAGAAATTTTGCTGCAAATTTAACAAAAAAGTAGTCCTTTAAATTTCAACTGTTGTCCGTTTGCCTATTTCTCATTTATTATTTCTGAGAAAAAGGAGTTAGATGAATCAACGTCGAAAAAAGAGTTTGAAGCTAAACGAAATAAGAGCTATTTACAAACTTCATTATCACATCAAAAGTTACGTTATTTTTAATTCAAATTGTTCCCCTGACAGCAGTTAAAGACATGACGAGCAAGACTTCTTTGCTTATTGGAAAATATGATGTACGAGAAGAAGACACTACTAATTTGAAATAGAAAATATATAGTTTAAATATCATAAAGTATTCAGCAAATCACTATACTTATAACTAACGATTAAGAATTGCAGCCTGGCATTGTGACGACGTCACAATAAAATAATTACTTTATAATAATTAATAATAAAAGAAACGAATCCCGCATGTTTATATACAAATATAATCTATATATATATATATATATATATATACTAGCTGTTACTCGATGCTTTGCCCGCGAGAATTTTGCAAGCAAACCTCATTTATATTTAGTATTTCAACAACCATAGTAATTGTTATATAACACCTACCGCTGAAAAGAATTGCCGAGAATCAAACGAACTATTTTCAATTTGATCAATTTTCTGGAACGTTTACAATCGTTTTATAATCGAATCAATATGCAATAACAAATTCAAATTTAAAACGGTTTGAACATTTTTAAAATCGAAATATATGAAAATATTTATAACAATGTCTCAAATGTTATTAATTTAATACACCAAGTACTCGATGAAGCCTTAATCCTCTTCTCCCCACCGCGTAAAAATTTCGAAAAATCCCTTCTTAGTGAGCGTTTCCATTACGTACCCTAACTGTCTACTAAATTTCACCTCTTTATGTTAAGCGGTTTGCTCTGGGCGATGATGAATCAGTGAGTGAGTGAGTGAGTCATTCATTCAGTCAGTCAGGACAAGCAATTTTATATATATATATATATATATATAAATGGACGTGTATCTCCCTATATTTCACTTTTTCGCCAAAACTACACATCGCACGTGAATGGTGTTTGTATGTGGTGGTAGCACCAAGTCTCCATTCGTGCATAGGGGTGGTTACGTCTCGATAGCTATAAGGGTGCGGGAGATATGAGGCTGAAAGTGGTTGAAAGTGGCTTTCTATTTCGAATGTTTTGTTCGAATTTGTTCGAATTAAATTCGAACATAAAATTCGAATTNCGAGATCAGCTTGGAATAACTTTAATCACAATAAATGTTTTCAACCATTTACACGCCTGTAAACTGATCGGAAATAAAGATCGCAAGACTCACAATACATGCATACACTGTAATTTACTATGTGGAGAACACTCATTTTATCTGCAAAATAGACTGTAACGAATTGTGCAACAAATGAACTTGCCAAGACAGATTATAAAAAATTTATTTTTCTATATAATATTTTTAATCGCAAAAAAGCCAAATCTGGCAATTTTACTCAGATCTAACTGAAGCGCCACTTGTAATCGTCCAATGTGCCAAGTTTGGCGCATGCGCCACGTTTTGGCCACCTCTAAGCTAGAACTTAAACGACTAATCGACGTGCCTATATTCCTTGTCGCGATGTAGAATAATTTTGAGTAATCCCTTTGTGTAGCATTTCGCATTGTACGCGTATGTATAGATTTAGGTAATTAGATAATTAAATGTCTTCTATATTTAATGCAGTGTCATCCTTGAGTAGAATCGGTAACCTCCTTGCGTGCGATCGGTAACATGTCGACTTACCGATTTCCTTTCCCATTCATATTTTACCCTCCTATATAGCCATTCTCTGACAGAGCGGCTGCTAAGTGGGGAGAAGCTTGAAGCTATACCCCCTCAGTTCTCACAATAATTTAAAGTAATGTTTTCACGCTAAAAGTGACACATTTGTCACCTTTTGTGAAAAAAAGTAAAACTCCCTTTTTAAACAGATGTTATGACACCTCCTAACAAACATCCGTCAGATGTTATAAATCTAAAAACTCGATTGGAGGGAATCCGAGATAAAAAAGGGGTCAAATTCACATAATCGGGAAGACGGCAATAGAAATAGTTTAGGCATAATCGTTCGACCTCTATTCCTCCAGGCCATTACCGTCTCTATATCCAAAGGCCGAATCAACCAGATCAGAGGTATCGTTTTAAACTCATTCATAAACACTCTCATATATAGAAGTGTGTTTAATTGTTAGCTTATTTTCTTTGTATTTTATATGTATATATATTAAATTCTATGTGTTTTTGTAAATGCTCCTGTCTACTCATTCAATTTATACGGACCCTGATCGAACTTACCCGCAACTTCCCTCCCAACTCGCATTTAAGACCCTCCTATACTTTAACGCCAACCAGTGACACACCATTAGCGGGTTGTAACGACCTAACGGTGAGAAGGCCAATCCTCCCAGGTATTCTCACATTATGTAAGGTTCCAAAAACGTTAAATCAGTTAAATATTAATATACTGGATTCTTTTTCTTCCGCCTGGTAAATTTTGTTTTCTATATTTTAATATTGCCGATTTTTATAAAAATATTGCTGTTAATTAAATATATTTTAATAAAAAAAAATACTTTCAGCATTTACTTATTTCCAATTAGAGAAAAAGTCTTTGATATATCACCGAAGACGAATGTTTTTTCTGTTGTTTCCTTTTATTTTCAATTTCTGTACTAATGAATGTATCACTAGAAGAATAAAAAAAAAGTAAACTGACAAAATTTTGTAATATATTCAACAGAAACATGATTGATATTCTTATTGCTCTGAAGAGTGTCCGTACATACGTAGGCTGTTTTCTTCCAACTACCGATGGTCCATAAAACAAAGACAAGTGTAATTAACAAAATGAATTTATAACTGGAAGTTAGCTGCAAACATGGTTACTTTTTGACATAATCGCCGTGAAGATCGAGGCAATTATTATATCTCTGGAAGCGCTTTGCAATCCCTCTTTATAAAATGTTGCAGCTAGGACTTGAAATGAGCCATAACGTTATTTTGAAAATTGTCATTAGGTTCAAACCTCTGCCCCCTAGCAGGTTTTCAGTTCAGAAAATAGGAAGAAGTATTCGCACATTAAAAATGTTAAAACGTCCACCTTTCAGAATTTCACCCCGCTTGGTACTTTTTAAACATTTAGCGTACAGCTTCAATTTAGAGCCGAGCGATCGGTCAAAAAATGACGCCCATTTAAATTATGGACTCGGGTGCCTACAAATGTCGACAAATGTAAAAAAAAATTTGAGGATTTTTATGCATAGATGTTAGCGCGTGTTATCGGTCCTATGCATTTAGTCGAAAACTTCTAAAATTTTGCAGGGAGCTTTTCGTATTAGGTAGATTGATGCTATTATATTTTGGTAGTTAACGGTCGACGGGGTGGGGAGATAGAGGAGGTTGTGTGTATTTCTAACAGGGTCGAACTTATTGACGATTTTAGTAGTTATTAGTATTCAAAAATTTTTTTATAACATCTATCCTCACTTTTGAAATTTAACTTTTCGCAATTTTATAATAGCTAAAAACATAAAATTTTTAAAATGAAATATGATAACAAATGGCTCCTCCAAATTTTGCCAGGAACCTTAAAAAACTAGTTGCTGGATTCCACCATCTTCGCCGCCAAGGGCCATCTTGCAGGTCATCAAATATGTTATCGACAGACCTACCAGTGTTGTTCTTTGCATCGATTCCAAATCCATCCTCTCCGCCTAAAACAACTACAGTGACAAATTCCCTACCATCAGCCATAACAAACTACACAACCACTACAGCCACCAGAAGCACATACACTTTGTCTGGACTCTCGCCCCTTGGTATTGACATCAACGACAAAGCAGACGACTCTCTAGCAATCTTCGGAACACAGTTAACACTAATTTTATAACCTCCGAAAATCTCCTAACTATCATTAATTCCGATCCCCAACACAACATGGAAGGCATCTGGAGCCACTACCCGAACCAAAATAAGTATCTTTGGTTTAACGACGGCCGACATTCAGGCATATCCACCATTTTCGTTCGTTATATTTACGTTTAATCAACCGCGACAAAACCAACTCTTTACTTACAAATCACATTATTTACACCCGAAAAATAAAAAGTAATGATAAATGCAGTTATTACCCCAACCAGATCTTTATAAATAAACCAATAACGATACGTTTTATTCCTCGCAAAACAAAGCAAGTAATAATTCAGAAATAATAATACGAAAATACTCTTCATTTAGATTTGTCTCGGGTGTGTTGCAATTATTAAAAGAAAATTGTCAACTAAGCATTAGAAATTATAATTTTAAGCAGAAAAAGTTTGCAGTTAAATTCGTTTTTCTGGTTTTAATGTTTGTAAAAGTTGCATATAAAACCAAGGAAAATTTACTTAACCGAAGTCTGTTACAAAGTTCTTTTTTGTTAAATTAACGATAGTTTCAAATATTTACTTACCTTCAGATGCAGAGGAAGACGGATAATTTTCCTGTTGTTTTGTTTTGTTATTCCATTTCTTTCCTAATGAATATATCACTAGAAGAGATATAATAAGCAAACTTAAAAGAATTTGCAAAGTCGACAGAAACATGGTTAATATTCCTTTTGCTCTACGGTTTGTAATGTGGTAGGTAATAATTGTCTACGCATATATTAATATATCTGTAAAACAATTAGCATGGAAAAATGCCAATTAAAATCAGAGTTTCTATGACACGTGCCAATGTTTGACGTCTAAACTTGTCATACAGCAAACCGAAAGTGCAGTAATGATTTTTTCTCGCGTGTCTATAATTTAACCTAGGATTTGAAGTATTTACAAAATATTTCGATTAAAAGGTAATTATAATCTAAAGATATAATTATATAATTAGTTATATAATTAGTTATATAATTAATAATTATATATTAAGTTATATAATTAGGAAATATTATTTTAAATAGAATTAGGTTTATTGTAATTTGACATAAACACGATACTTACTATATACTTGCGACACACAGAGCACGTAACTTGGGAGCATGATGTTGGATCAACGGTCAAACCCGGTACACATTTCCAGTGCTATGATGAGAAGCAGTACGTGCCACGGCACGTACTGGTTTTCATCATAGCACTGGAACTGATTGTGGGGGAACTCAATTGTTGCTGAACTGCTGCAAACTATACCCGACACGGGTGTTTCGACAACACATTTCATGACCGCACGTGGCACTGCGAACTCTCACTAGAGCGAATGAAGTGATGTTTTTTGAAAAACTCAGACAAATAACTTGCTCTGTCTCTTGCTAAGTTCACAGTAAAAACAAAATACATAGTGTGTTTTTCAGCATCATTCGTATCAAATAAAATGATATCATACGTGCTTAAGCAAAAATAACATATGGAATAAATGTTTCGAGTACTGCATCCAATTACGCAGATAACAAACCACAAGTGGTGCAAATCGTTTTATCCCACCCATCCATATCCTACATTTTACAGATTCGGAGTCAGAATACTCTCAACGTGATATAATCGACACGATTTTTAGTTTATACATAAACGAGCTTAACTGGCGAGCCACAGATTCGTTAAGGGTAAAAAAATAATAGCTTTTCAATATAATTAGAAAATATCGTAACGTTTCTCTCCGAAATACCCGAACAACTTTCGGTTACTTTCTCTTGTAGCTACGCTTAGGTTGGAAAAATCATTATCGATATTCTAGGTGAGTATTTAATAAACTATGTATGCCGACTCTAAACGGGGTGGCGAAGCGAAATGCTGTGGTCACAGAAATTAAATTCAAACTGTTGAATTTAAAGCAAAATTAATCGATTTTTTTATTATCGTTAATTAAAACTATTACATCTTTCGTACAACTGAGTTATAAATGCTTAATACTAAAGAAATCGCCTAGCAAATTGTATTCAGATTTTAAAAAGTACACCCGAGCTCACGGTAATTACGGGGACGCATTGTAATTCGGTGTATAATTTATTTAACAAAGAAAAATACGTAACTCGATGCTCCACGCAAGCGCACTAATAATAAAATCACATGTAATCACGTGTAAAATCAAGTGTCTTTAACTTACATTAAGATCTCAAAAAGGAGTTTCTAAAGAACATACATAGTGTTGTCGAAGGTGTGCGGATGCAAATTATCATGAAAGAACACAACGTTGTTTCAGGTGTTGTTATATCGTATTCCTTCTTTCGGTTGAATTTTTGTATAAAATATGTAATTAATTAAATATGAGTAGTTTTAGATTGGTACAGAAACTGTCATTCTTGAATGAGTCTAGCCCAAAAACTTCATACAGNACGTATGACACAAAAAAAATGCTTAAAACTGAACTGCCTCCTCAGTATATTGCAGCAGGCAGTTCAACGCCACAGAATTTAGCCCATTTCTCTCCATGTAAGGTGAAAGGCGAATTTCTAAATTCAAAAAAAAGTCCAAATTTTTATAACAGATTTTTAGTCTAAATCCAAGATTTTGTAGAATTTATCTGAAACATTCTTTCGAATCGTTTTTTGTAGTTTACTTATAGTTTTTTGTGTTTAATTGCATAATGATTTTGGACTGGAGGTAAGAAACTCTGATGGCTAAATATAGTTTTTCGAATCAAAGTAGATGCCGCTGCAATAGGCCACTTTAAAGGTGAGATGCAAGTAAACACTCTTTTTCAACGTAAAATCATTACGCTGAAAGAAATAGGTATTTTCCATTAAAACAACGAATCTCCGTAGATTTCGCAGATTTCAGCGTTAATTATGATGATTGAGAAACCATATTGAGCCATTTTTCTTTCATTCTGGAATCATTATGCAATAAAACATAACAGGAAAACTTATCTTTGCGGATTGCAGCGTTAGCTAATTTGCTTTCCACCCTACCCTTATAGAAATGGGCTAAATTCGGCGGAGTTGAACCCCTTTAATAACTTATTTTATTCCGATTTCGCTATAGACTTCTTACCTTTGATTGTCAAGTATTTGAAAAATGTCGAACATAATGTCGAAATTATTATCCGTCATAAATAAAACTGGGAACAATACAATAAAAGTTATAAAAATGAAATCATTTTTAAAGTAAAGCTGATGATTAATGAGCAATTGTCTTGAGTTTAATCATTCCAGTTGGCATTTAATTCTGCGTTGTTCAAATCGAACAATCAATCAAACAAATTAATACTGGATAGAACATTTCTGTAATTATCCTGTATTTTTGTAAATTACTGAATAAGATTCTAAAATAAATATATTTATAAATTTTGAATATCGAACTTTATTACATATTTTCAGTTATGTACTTTCGAAAGATTTTTGCTGTAAATACACGTTGAACATTTTAATTTGTTTAGATTACGAAGACATAAACATAAAAATTTTATTCAGAAATTAAACGAGGTTGAGTCTAAACTGATCCGCGCTAATGGTCTAGAATTCATTTTAATCAATTTTCAGCAAAGTCAAATACATCATTTTTCGACAAAATCTTCCAGCTGTTCAATACCCCATCCATCAACTAACTTTCCTACTGTCTCATTGAAAATGGTATCGGCTCAGCTATGAACAAGGAATGAACTTCCCTCTTCATCTCGTTGTCAGACATGAATCTCCTTTTCGGTAAAGCTTCATTGGTGGAAACAAACAAGTGATATTCCTATTTGGCGTGAACAGGACTATAAAGTTACTTTAAGATCTAAAAAAGGAGTTTCCAAAGAATATAGACAGTGTTGTCGAAGGTGAGCGGATGCTCATTATCATGAAACAACACAACGCTTTTTCAGACGTTGTTACATCATATTCTTTTTTTAATTCAATTTTTATATAAAATGCATAATTAATTAAATATGAGTAGTTTTCGATTGGTACAGTAATTGTCATTCTTGCATTAGTCTAGCCCATAAACTTTCGTACTGTCTTACTATGAGTATTGTAAAAGCTATCTGACATATTCAAAGAATTTAATAAATAAAATTAAAGTAATTGTACAAAAGTTGAACAACTCTAATACAATTAAAATAATTTCATAAATTAAATATGTTAAATATAAGTAATTGATTATTTCGATTATTTTCTAAATTTATTTTATTTAAATTTGTTTTGTATGTGAAGAGATGGAATATTTACAGAAATTACTGTATTTTTTGTGAGTAAAATGAGGAAAGTTACGAATCTGGATTTCATTATTTTAAAAGTAAAGGTGAAATCAAGGTTTTGAATTTAGTACAGATTTGTTTGACAAGTAAACATTTCTTAGAACGATCAAGGAAATATGAGAAAACGAGAAGTACATAACTTTTATGTGTTTTTATTTTTGATTTCGTGAAGTTGCCAGGAACTTAATTCTTGCCGGCTGCTATAATTTTACTTGTTTTAACTTCTACTTAATTTAATACGAACAATTATTAACAGAAAAAGAAATTTCCACTCGGTAATATTATTTTTCTAATTTAGAAAATGAATTTAACTTATTATTACTAAAATAAACCAAATAAATTTCGAACATTATCATTGTTGTTTTACATTTGCAGTAAATTTATTAAAAAAAACATGTAAAACTAATTAATTCAATTAAATTATGCAGCGAAGACAATAAAAATATTATTTTTTAGAATGAGTTATTTGAAATGATGTGAAAACATTTCAATGCGTGTGATTATGAACAAATGTTAATTGCAATTGTCCCTACTTACAGAACTTATTAATATATTGTTAAAGAAGGTGTCTCATTTAACTTTAGATTGAAATATTTCGAGAAATATGTATGATACAAAAAAATGCTTAAAACTAAACTGCCTCCTCAGTATATTGCAGCAGGCAGTTCAACGCCGCAGAATTTAGCCCATTTCTCTCCACGTAAGGTGAAAGGCGAATTTATAAATTCAAAAAGAAAGTCCAAATTTTTATAAAAGATTTTCAGATAAAATCCAAGACTAAGTAGAATTTTCTGAAACATTCTTTCGAATCGTTTATTATAGTTTACTTATAGTTTTTTTATGTTTAATTGCATAATGATTTTGGACTGGAGGTAAGAAACTCTTATGGCTAAATATAGTTTGCGAATCAAAGTAGATGCCGCTGCAATAGGTCACTGTAAAGGTGAGATGCAAGTAAACACTCTTTTTCAACGTAAAATCATTACGTTTAAAGAAATAGGTATTTTCCATTAAAAGAACGAATCTCCGCAGATTTCAGCGTTAATTATGATGATTAATAAACCATATTGAGCCATTTTTCTTTCAATCTGGAATCATTATGCAATAAAACATAACAGGAAAACTTATCTTCGCGGATTGCNATTACGTTTAAAGAAATAGGTATTTTCCATTAAAAGAACGAATCTCCGCAGATTTCAGCGTTAATTATGATGATTAATAAACCATATTGAGCCATTTTTCTTTCAATCTGGAATCATTATGCAATAAAACATAACAGGAAAACTTATCTTCGCGGATTGCAGCGTTAGCTAATTTGCCTTCTACCCTACCCCTATAGAAATGGGCTAAATTCGGCGGAGTTGAACCCCTTCCAAAATACTGAAAGTTTCTTTTAAGCGTTTTTTTCGTATCATACGTATTTCTCAAGATATTTTAGTCTGAAGTTAAATGGAATACCTTGTTTAACAATATAATAATAAGTTCTATAGGAAAGGACATGTGCAATTGACATTTGTTCATAATCACACTCATTGAAATGCATTCACATCATTTCAAATAACTCATTTTAAAAAATAATACTTTTATTGCCTTCGCTCCATATTTTAATTGAATTAATTCGTTATACATGTTTTTTTATAAATTTACTGCAAATGTAAAACAACAATAATAAAGTTCGAAATTTATTTTGTTTATTTTAGTTAAATTCATTTTCGAAATTTACTTAGAAAAATAATTAATACCGAGTGGTAATTTCCATTTCTGTTAATGATTGTACGTATTAAAGTTAAAGCAGGTAAAGTTATAGCAGCCGGCAAGAATTAAGTTGCTGGCAACTTCACGAAATCAAAAATGGAAACCCATAAAAGTTAATTACTTTTCGTTTTCTCTTATTTCCTTGATCTTTCTAAGAAATGTTTACTTGTCTAACAAATGTCTAGTAAATTCAAAGCCTTGATT